TATGGTTTTGACGTTACCCATTAAAATTTGAAAGTGAACTACAAGTAATATACCTAAGTAAAGTATAATTATAAATAATTAATATCGATCTTCTCTTCTTCACGGCTTCTTTCTTTCATTTAAAAGATTTTTTTTTTCCCGTATGCTGTGTTGCACGACTATGGAATAAAGTTAAATGTCCCTGTCTTGACTCTTTGAGATTTCTCGTAAAACTTTACGGAATTTGCTGTATTACCTTTTTATGAGATCCGACTGAATGAGTATATTAATAATAATATGTAGTAGTATATTATAATCAATTATATATAATTTAAGACCCTTTTATTTGGGGGAAAAAGGTATGATCCTGGCATCGTAATCTGTATCAATAAGCTCGGAATTTGTTACATTTAATTAATTATTATTAATCAATCAATCAATATAAAATATGAATAGCATAGAGAGCCCGCTAGTTGCATATCATGAATTATTTTAAAGGTAATTATATTTTGGCTGTGTCGATGCTTGGTCGATGAATTGATTAATTATATGAACTCTTATATAAAATTAATTATGCTTGGGTGTTTTATAACTCTATTTTAGTTGTTTTTTGGACCAAAGTCAAAGCTAGGAAGATTACGGACCCATTATCTGGTTTGGCCTAATCAACAATTCATTTGGTTTTATTGTTGGTTGGTTTAGTTTTATTTGGAGTGATTATTTGATTTATGTTAATTGTATTTTTTGTAATAAATTTGTTATAGTTGGTGGTAATTAAATTTGTGTGGGCTAGATCTAAGAAGGGCAAAAGGAGAACCCAAACTAAAAGAAAGAAGTGAAATGGAAGTTCAATAATGTGTCTCTGTTCTCGTGACATTTTTGGCGTCCACTATTATTATTTTAAAAACTTAATAAATGAGTATTTGAACATATTTTTCCAGAATTTGAATTTCAGTCTATTAGTATCATTTCATTACATTTTTTGTCCAAGGAATTCATAGCTTAATATATATATATATGTTTTATATTGTAATGGTAATTACTGGGGAATAAAAAAGATATTAAAGATAGGTGAAAAGCATTCAGCAACAGGGATATGAAGACTGCACTTGGATGAATATTTTAAGTCGTAACATTATGTTTCAATTCTATAAAAAAAATATAAATTGTTTGCCATCAAAAAAGTATCACCAAAAAAAAAAGAGAGAGAAGTTAATCTATTACAAAATCGCACCCGGCCCCTTTCGAGATTATATGTGACTGTAGAAGATTCAAGGAAGATTGATGTTTGAACCCTCTGTAAGAGGATTATTAACATTTCGGTTCCTTAATTTTTTTTTCAAAAAAAAAAAAAAGAGCTGTCAATATAGTAATGTCATAATTACTAATCTCAAAAGGATTATTATTTCAAGGGACCAATAAAAGTGATCCAAGCGTCGTTTTCTCAAGATTTAATTGAAATAAAAACGATGGATGATACTTTCCTAAAATTTGTAAATATTAATTGTAGATGTTAAGATTAAGGAGGGAAAAACTATTTTCGTGCGATATATGTTTTGAGTTTATGCACTGAATTGGTTGAAAAGTAGTATACTTATATAACTCCATATAAAAATTGAGTAATTTTCTTTCACTAGATTTAAAAACACACACACATATATTGATTGAAATTGATTATTCTGATTTATTAAAACGTTAGAAAAATCTTTTGATTTAAGATTAAAGTGTTATATAAATTTTTTTGAGGAAGATACAAATTAAAATGACTATTTACGTGGACACAGATCGAGCAGTTCACATTTGATAGTATACGTCAGCAAAGTAATCTTGAAGGTAATTAGCAAAGAACCAGTAATTAATTTTCAGTAACCATTTTAAAACTAAAATATCAAGTTGTTGCAACTTGCAAGTAGTAATAGAATCGGGAGAATGACGACAAAGTTTTGCGGTAGGCATTCTTTTTCTCTAAATGTTACTGACTTTTTTTTTAAATATATTTTCATAATATTATTTCTCTTTCATTATTGTGGCTTAGTTCGTGTCAATCTTTTTCTGCGACGAAGCAGCTCTAAGAAGGGGGGACAAATAAAAAAAAAAGAGGAGCCACTTTTGATGGGATTTAGAGTTTATCGTTTTTTAATATTATTTTTCTAATTTTTTATTTAAAATTTTGGTAATTAATAGAAATAATTCGACATAAACATTTTAAAAATGAAACAGTAGTGCAGTAAATTAATTAAGGAGGGAGAGAGGATAAATGATGAGTGGTGAAGGGAGACAGTGAGCATAGGTGGTTGCATATACGGGTGACATTTGTGGTCAGTGATAGTATTATGGACTTTTGGTACGATAGTGTCAGTGACAGTGATTAGTAAAAATATTCAATCATGATTGATGAAGATGGTAAACAGAACCTTATTAACATTATATATATATATATGTATATATTAGATGTCACAGAGATTATTTTATACTTATCAAAGCTTCTCGAAATATATTTTAGTTGCTATATATGATTCTATTATTCATAATATAATGTTTTATTGCATTCTAATTAGGATTTGTGTAGAAAGGAAAGAACTGATTTGTTAGTTTTTATCATTTATATAGGAATCAAGATGATTTTATGTTTCTCTGGCGAATCAGCTGGGTGAATTTCTTTCAAGAGGGTCAAATGATCCCATTTATAGTTGTTTTTAAATCATAATTAACTGTTACCTTGTAAAATTGGGTAAATATAGCTAGGATAAAATTCAATTCAGTGCATAAAACATGAAATTATAAACTAAAACCCTAAATAATATCTCAGACAAGACCCCAAAAAGGAAAGTAACGAGCCAAAAACAAGAATGGAGGGCTGGAAATAAAAACAAAAGAGGAAAAAGGGGGAAGGGAGCAAGCTGAGAAACAGATAAAGGGGAGACAAATTATTATATATCCATGTGGAAAACGAAACGCGACATTTTTTCCCAAATGAATATTTTCGTATAAATTGGAAATTGATGATCATATAAGTATTTTTTTCTCCTATGAATAATAATTATTGTGTGTGCGTGTCAGTTGATTATGGGTAATTTACTTTCAAGGGGTATTATGTAAGAAAATTACCTCCCCCCCCCCCAATGCATATTGTATAATTACGTATGCAGTGACAAATTAAAACAAAAGAGTAAATAACTAAAAAATAAATAAACATGGACAAGAAGTAGAGTTTTAGAGTGGTTACATCTATCTGCAAGCACATTTTCCTCATTTTCCTTCTAAAGGGCCCTGAAAGCGCAAGTCCCACCCATCGTCTTTTTACTTTTTCTCCTTCCTCTTCTGATCATGGTGGTTGCTGATTAACGTTGAAAGCTATGCAGTTATGAGTATCACTCTGAATATATTTATTACTTTCTTCATGTTTAAATTTCTCCTTAACAAAATTTTATATAGTTTTTTAATATATGATCATTTTATCTATACATGTTTTCACTGAAATCAACAAGATCTTTATAAAGTACTCCTCTAGTTCTTAATGTAAAACCTAACTGGAGAGTTGATATTAGTTATATATATATAAGAACTACTTCACATGTTTATTTATTTTTTTCCGAATTAACCATATTGGTATTCCTCAAACAATAATCAAGTAAGAGAAGGAGGGAAGGAATTAATGAAGATACTTAGAGTATTTTAGAAAAAACTTATCACATTAATTAATTTAACTAATATTATTAATATACTCAAATTAATTAATTAGGTCTTACATTAAGTACTAGAGAAGTATATCATATCTAGTGTTCCTAGATCAAATTTAAGTATTGTTAACTCTCTCAAAAAACTTATCAACTCTTTTAGAATATGTACCTAACTAAACCACGATGATCCTTTCATACCTATTAGTAAACCGACACACCATATGTATAGGTGCCAATTATAAATAACTTCATATTTGATATTTTATAATGCTAGAGTCTAATTTGATATTCTTTTGTTCTCAGTATAAAAGCTAGATGGTTATTATGTATATATTAGAAAAATTTGTTAAATGAGTTATTTATGTTGATTTTCTCAAAGTACTCTATTTAATTGTAGTAGGAACTACTCTGTTGAAGAAATTTTTTCTTAGTACATGCAATTAATAGAGAAAAGTTTAGGGGAAAAATCATAAATTTAAAAGATAAAATGAGCTAAAATATTTATTCAGGAACAAAACAAACCTTCATACTAAAACAGGAAGAAGTAACATCGAATACCAAATATAACTGATTGGTAGATAGAGAGAGAGAGAGATAAGGGTGAAATATTAGAGGGGAAAATGGTCCAAATGGTTGTTTAAGAGGTGGTTTTCCGTGGAGATTTTTAAGGTCAGGGGTCATAGTTGTGGATGTGGGTGTGCGTCCTTACTCTTCTTCCCCAAGCTGTGCCATCGATTTGTCCAAATTTCCCCGTGGGCCCCTCATGTGATCCCCGCATACCCTGGGCCCCACCTCCCACTTTGCTCTCCCTCCTCCTTGCTTGGTAGGTGTGGCTCCCCCACACATTTTCAATATCAGCTCCAAAATTCCCCCATACACACACGTTCCCTTTTATTTCCTCCCTGCACCTACACCAACATTAATTTTAACCTCATTTTACTTTTTAAATAAATATCCATCATTTGAGTTCAATTATATATTGTCAAGCTTCTTATCATGTTACTCTTTTTATCCTAAATAAAATAAGTTTTATATTTAAGATTGGAGTAGTATTTTTTAACTTTCTATACAGAATTTATTTAACGTATTGGTCTTAATTATTTATGAAATATCGGGCCTGTTTTTACCCAATTTACCATGTATGGTTATTAATTCAGCACGGCATATTATTGAGTCTGTTATGTTATTTATTAAAAATAAAAAAGAAAAAGAAAATCAAATCACATGTATATTTAGAATTTCTTAATAGGTATATATTTTGGTCGTCTCAGGCCCACGCATCAGATATATATATATATGGTCAGTGAGTCTTTGCATACTCATTTCAGTACACCATCTCTTCATTATCTCTCCTCCTCTTTCTCGTTATCTCTCTCATTCATTCCCGAAAGTGCTGCTCTCTCTCCGTTTGGTGACCGAGAAAAAGGAAACTTCAAATTGGAAGCATAAAGCTGCGGGAACCCTGAAAATATCATCTTGTCTCCTTCTTTAATTGGCTATCTGAATGCAGGAGAACATGAGCATCTCTGTGAACGGACAATCCCAGGTGCCTCCTGGTTTTCGGTTCCACCCAACCGAAGAGGAGCTTTTGCAGTACTACCTCAGGAAGAAGGTCTGCTACGAGAAGATCGACCTCGACGTTATTCGCGATGTCGATCTCAACAAGCTCGAGCCCTGGGATATACAAGGTAAAGCATAATTAACCAGAGATACATGCCTAGTTTTGTTTTTGGTTTCGTTATCTCTTCGTTCATGCTCTTCTGATAACGTCAATTGGAACGATGGTTTTGGGTTTCAGAGAAGTGCAAAATAGGAACCACCCCACAGAACGATTGGTACTTCTTCAGCCACAAAGACAAGAAGTATCCCACCGGAACTCGAACAAACCGGGCCACGGCTGCCGGATTCTGGAAGGCGACGGGGCGGGACAAGGTGATATACGGCAACGGAAAGAGGATTGGGATGAGAAAGACTCTGGTTTTCTACAAAGGACGTGCCCCTCATGGCCAAAAATCTGATTGGATCATGCATGAGTATAGGCTTGAAGATAACAACACCAACACCGAGGCCAACATTGTGAGTGCACACTCAATTCAACAAATACTTTCTTTTTCTTTGGTCCAACATATATACTTTCTTTGACTTTTGAAAATGTCGAAATCATGTTTATGGTGTTCTTTCTTCTTTTATCATTGTTAACTACAGAAGACAGATGTTGAAATTGTTGTTTGTTGAAAAAAATTCAGGTGACGAATGTAATAGGAGATGCAGCACAGGAAGAAGGATGGGTGGTGTGCAGGATATTCAAGAAGAAGAACCATCTCAAAACCCTAGAGAGCCCCCTGGCTTCGTCCATTACAGAGGAAACAATCAGAAGCCACCAGCCCGACTCCATGTTCGAAGGTGATGATGACGACGAGGGAGCTCTAGAGCAGATCTTCGAGCAAATGGGAAGAAGCTGTTGCAAAGAAGAAGAACAAAACGACCCCACCACCACCAACAACAACAACCGAAGAATCATCAGACCGTTTGACGACACTGTCATGAACAACAACAACAACAACAACTTTAGCCATGGCTACTTCCACCATGACAGGTTCTTGAAGCTTCCTCGCTTAGAAAGCCCAAGATCCAATAATTATGGGTACCACCCGATCATTGAAGGGGCACATGGCGGCGGCAGCGAGCACAGCTTTGTTCATCATCAAACGGAATCGGCAACTTCATCTGCTAATGGTGGTCTTATCACCAACTGGGCAGCACTGGATAGGCTCGTGGCTTCGCAGCTTAATGGCCAAACGGAGACTTCTCGGAGCCTAGCTGGCTTCAATACCACCGGTGACCCCCCCATGGGCTACGGCTTGAGCGACCATGATCTGCAACTGCCGACCCTGCGATCTTCTTCGTCACTTTCATCAATAATATCATCATCAGCCCACAACGGCGGAGCTAATTACGATTACACCAGCGAGATTGACCTCTGGAACTTTGCCCGATCCTCATCATCGTTAGTGTCAGGCTCGGAACCACTATGCCACGTGTCCAACACATCATCAGTGTAGCAGAAGAGAATAAAGCCAGTCCAGTCCCTCCCATGTCAGATATAATTAGAATAAAATGATGAGCAAATATATATACACACACATAGAGATGATCATGTTTCTAGTTCTGCTCAAGTCAGAGGATGGTTATCGTGTTCATGGATTAGTGTTTTAATGGAATTAATTAGAATGTCTTTGTTGTTACAAGCCGGATCCATCAGCTCATAGCTTATATGACACCAGGATCAAGCTTTTGAGTTAAAACGAAGAAGGACAAGGTCGAAGACTCCAAACCCAGCCAGCCGGTTCCTATTTTTCTTCCTTTACTTTCAAAGGAGTTCTTTTTCCATTGTAACAAAAAGGGGGAGAAAAAGGTTTCCAGATATATTTTATTCTTAATTATTTTGCAGTTATTTTTCAGATGGAGTGGCACTGTCATGTGTCTCAACCTGGGCCTTTGCTTAATCACGATGTCTACCATTCATTAACCTTTTTGGGGGCTCTTGGTGAGAGTATATCAGAGAAAGATATGCACCCAGCAGGAACTCACTAGTGCTGTAGCCTGTGAGATAGATATACATATATCTTTATATTTGTGTGAAGGCGCGATAATTATAAGGGAGTGTGTGTGTGGCTTTTTTTTTTGTTTGAAAAAAAATAGATTAATTTGAAAAGAATGTTGAAAGGTGATGATTATGGTGATGATAATAAGGTCATGTTGCTAAGGATAAATTGCTCTTCATGTAAGGGTCACGTGGTTTGTCGGATAGCTTGAGGAAGGTGCAGAGGCCCATGGGGTGGGCTTTGTCTTATTGTACCAATTAACAGAAGAGCCTCTCTATTAATACTAAAAGGGGGTGACCAGGACATGGGCTCCCCCCTTCACCCCTCAAACTCGCATCAGTACGAATACAATACTTTCACACAGAAAAAGAGAGAGAAACGCCTAATCACTTCACTTTAAGCCAAGTCAAAAAGGAATCTTAACGGATTCTTCATTATTCCGCATAATGTTTATTAATTCATATTATCATACGTAAGCTTTGCATCTTCATTTCGTCACTAGTTAGGGTTAAGGAAAGAGAATGAACCATATGGCAAGGCCAAAAAGCACAGCGTCCTCACAGGTTTATGTTTAAATTATATTGCTGTTTGTAGTGTAGTGGGTTCTCTGTTCTGAACTTCTAATTCGTCATGACTTTAATTCCACAAGCAGGAAATCCCCAAGGGAATCAAAGTACCACTACAGCACTACTAACTAACTGATAAAAATGTTTCATCCTATGCATATATCTTTTTTTTCTTTAAGGGCAGCTTCAAGTTTCAAATGATTAAACGTACGTAAGGTAGAGGTAGGGTTACATTCTGGACCACTTTCTCAGTCTCTCTCTCTCTCTTTCTGATACCGAAATTTTTCCTTTGAATTGAAAAAAGTATATCAACTTTTGAATTTCAAGGTCAGTACTCAGGCAGCAAAAGTTCATATGTGTTATATATATATATGTCTGCCAGCTAAGAATAACAAAAATGGTTCCTACATCACGGAGTCAGTCTAGTTCATCAATTAAGTACGTTCAGATTGATGTCTTTTCCTTGCTTTGCCTTCCGATGAGGAGGGAATTGGAGTATTAATTGTTATTTATCATATGTGTGTGTGTGTGTGTGTGTGTGTGTAGACAGCAAATTAAAATTAACGATGATCAACACAGCACTGTCTTTGCTTGGACTTGTTTGATAGATCAGTTTTATTTCTACCTTCGTCGTGTGTTGGGATGTGGGAAGGTTCGTCGCATGTTGGTAAAACGACCAATGAGAGTGGTGCGAGGTGAAAAGTTGCAAATGTTCTTGATGTGGGAAGTCAACATCCAGCAGCAAATGAGGGGCAGCTCACAACCAGAAACTGTTAAGGGTCATGAAAATTGATTTGGTGGAGTCAAGCGAAGCAAACCATTTCAGATTCGAAAAGTGATCGATACGTAGTGAATGAAATCGAACAAAAGGGAGAGTTGATTTCAAAGACTACCTTTTCTTTTCTCAGACAGTGTTAACGACAAAGACGAAGTGGTCGATGTGCTGTGCAGGCATGTCTGATCTTTCGGAAAAGAATACACACACACACACACACACAGAGGTAAGTGGGAAGTTGAGTTGAAGATAGCTATATTATTTAAGCTAGGTACCGCGATTTATGGCCATGCCACCAACCAACGGCATACGAATCCTACGGCTTAGAGTCGCTTACGTACTTTTTTGTCCTTTGTAAGTTTCTTCTTCTGCCACTTGTGTCATCCGATTTTTTTTCCTCCCTTAGTTTCTTTTCTAAGAAGTTTTTTCCTGTTACTTTATTTTTCATTTACACTTAATAATACTTAAATTTAAATTTTAAATTAATCAGTAACACTAAATAGGGAAATTAAACACGCCGACTATAGTTGTGTCATGAACAAGTTTCTCGCAAGGTTGGTATTGATTAAGAGCCCAAATATGGGACTTTATGCTCAAATAATAATTATTGATTATCGAAGCATATCTCTTTAACTTTGATCTCTGCTTTTATCACCTCTTCATTATCAAGCATAATCTCAGTGATGTGAAACGAGAGATATTCTGATAGGGGGGGGGGGAAGCATCGCTGAGAGAAGGAAACAAGGCAAAATAAAATCTGCATCAATGAAAGAAAAAAGTGGTAGTCTTATTCATAACCATATATCTATGATTAGTTTAGAAAATTTAAAATGCGAGAACAAATAGAAATACAGTTATGTGCTTTTTAATTTGAAAGTTACGAATGAAAAGGAAAATTGAACTGCATAGCACAGCTAGATAGCACGTAAAGATAGATTAGACTAGAAATAATCTCGATTCTGAAATAAGCTATGGCCATTAATTTTTTTCCTTTTATTTTAACATATTGCTTTCTGGATATTACATATTCAAACATAGAATGGTTCCCGTAAGATGCCATGTCCAGTATTTAATGTTAAATTAATATTAATTTAATTATCTATTTTTGCATACCAAGAATAAAAAATCAATCTCATGTTTACAAAAAAAAAATACTTATTGATAGAAAATAAGTCAAAAGGGAGAAGCCTGCATGTGTTCTAATATGCTAAGAAATTAGAAATTATATTAATGGCATAATTTTGAAACAAGAATAGATATATTTTAAATAAATATCGAGAAAAATTAGGATAATTTACTGTAAGAAAGGGACAGAATTAATCATTTTCGTCGAAGTACTCTTGCTAGATTTGACCAGCATAATCCATTTATACAAGTATGTGAATCAATTGCCACTAAAACGTGGCGGATTTCTACACTAATAAGCGTCGTTGTCTCTGCCTGTAACTCTCTTTCACAACTAATGTAATTGATTAGCACTATATGTAGTTTCAAGGAAATTTACCGAAAATATCTTTGTGTATGTTATATAATATTTTAATCAACAAATTAAATCATTTGTATTATTATCTTATTCTCAAATTTATAGAGTCCCTTTAAGAATCTTTAGTTTTATTTTTCCAAAACAGCACCATAATATATATGACACACACACACTAATAGTAATTAATTTTTTTTATTATGGACATTGAGTATATATATTCTTCTCATACATATCACAACATATATATTTATATATATGTATGCATGTGTCTCATTTGCGGTATTTAATTGGGACAAATGACAGATCACTTTTCAACTAATAAGTTTGGTTCATACGCAATGGTTGAAAATTAAACCTCCAGCATCATATCTTATTTAAAGAAGGAGAGTCTCTAGCTACCGCTCATGCCAACATGAATTGGTTCATTGCAATTAATTTTGAATTTAATTATATATATAGCTTCAGCTTATAATCAATATATTATCACAATTCACAGAATCAGTTGCTTGCTAGCTTATTGATAAAAGCTAAATTTTTGTAAATAAATACGAATTTTCTTTTGTATTGTTGGCAAAACAAAGACAAAAGTCAGTGATATTTTTATTTTGGTATGCTTTTTCTGGAAGTGATCATATATCAACTAACAACGCACTTTAGCAGGGTTTCCTTTTATACCACAAATCCATCATCCACGATCGGTTGGTCACTACACGCCATTAAGGCAGTACACATTCATTTTTTATAATTATAATATTTGACGTAGGGAGTGTTTGAATTAGCTTTTTAGACGTGGTTCTATACAGTATGAGATAGATATGTAAGAGAAATTTTATTTCAACTTACACTAAAATATTTCTTTTAAGTGCTTAAAGGTATTTCCAAACACTCCCTTATTAACTTTTCTGGCAAAAAAATAATGGGTTTGTTGGTTTCTTGTTTTGAAAATAATTTTTTATTTTTAAAAACAGAAAAACAAAAAAACTTGTTTGGTAATTTGTTTTTAGTTGATTGTTTTAAAAAACAAAAAACAGTAATATATTTTTAGAAACTAAAAAACCAAAACAACTTTTATATGTTCTTATGTTTTTTATTTTTTGTTTTGAGAAATTTTTCTCTTCTCACTTATTATTATTAGCGACAAATATCATCTAGTTGTCACCTACCAATTGTGGTTTTCTATGATTTTTTTTTCAAACATGATTTTTTAAAATTATTATCCAAATAAATTCTTTTGTCTTTTGCTTTCAAAACTTGTTTTGAAAAACAATTTTATAAAATTGTTTTAAGAATAACAAAACAAAGAACAAAAACAAACAGGCCCAATATAATTAACATATTTTGTGTTAAATATATATGAATTGATTGATAATTGAATTGGTTCTTGTACGTAGCAGAGAAAAATTGTAACTTTCTTAACTTTTACACGTGAATTTCATCTGAGAAAGATTAAGACTTAATTAGTCACAATGTTGGGAGTTTATTGTTCCTCTGACGGATTTCGACAGTAATTTTCTTTAAAGCAAACAATTAAAGAATTTTCGATTTAAACTGTATGGAATCGTGAGGGATGACCTTCACGTTAGTTTATCAATATTATAAAATATAAATTTACAACAAATTTTACCATTGATAAAATAACGACTGAGTATAACTCATTTTTAACATGCTATATATTCTGAAATTTTGCAGTTGGAGGTTTCTGCATCAATCCATATCAATATCAAATATAAAATTTCTTTATATATATATATATATATAGAGTTTATAGAGTTGCATCACAATTTTAAAGTGCGATTTGACAGAACTAGAGGCTAGTCGTCGTTGAGGGCTTATAGCCTCATATCAATACCATTCATGCATCCGTACGATTAGGTTCTCAAGCTCAGCATATGGCATTTTTCTGTCTTATCTTCCTGAGATTCTTCTTCTTTTCTAAAAATTAATTCTAATTAATCTGTATCAATTTGGTATGCCTAGGGTATTAAAAGTTAGTGCCATTATGATCTTTTTTAACTGTATTCTAGTGCAAAAATCAAAATTAAAAAAAAAAAGTCAGAGAACAAGCTTCGTTACAGGGAATTCCCTTTTTTTCTTCCCGATGAACCACAAAATAAATCATTCATCAGAGTCATATTAACACAGCTTTGCAATTCAGTTTGGTTGTAAGCATAAAAGTTGAATGCGCTCTGTCTTTCTTGCTTATTCATTTTTTTT